TAGTTTTTTGGGGTATTTATCTTTTAATATTGGCAATATCCATTATCATGAACAGTATTCTGAAGTTTCTGATCAAGATACATTTTTCAAATATGTTTCTTACAATTTTTACATTTTTTGCAAGAATATTTGCAGTACTAATATTTAGATTTAGTAGATTTTCAGCATTTTTTTCACATATGATAAAAGTTGATATGGTGTATTATGTTGTGGTTGGAAGACTTTACATTGTTCTAAATATTCTAGGTATCCTGTAATTGCACAAATTTCATTATTTTGGAGAGAAATGTTAACAAAGATGAGGCATTCAATGTAAGAATAACGTTGAGACTTGATTGATAGCTTTTTCTCAGTAACTTCCACATATGCACTGTTTAACAATGATTGTTGAATTTGATTGTTGGGTTGATCACTTGCATTACATATTATCAGTATCAATATCGAGACCATTTTCATGGAGAAATTGATTACACTGTTCATTATGGTTCTCATCAGATAAATTCCATCGTATTTTGATTACATCAGGCACATGATTAGCTAACAAGTTTGTAAGTTTAATTCAATCATCATCATTTAACAAAAGATGCGAATTCAGCTTTATATTTGCGCGTGGATTGTAGCTGCCTCTATATCAGAAATTTTGACTTTTATTAACGACATTAGTGTGAGAAAAAATGCACGAGTATTTACCCACCCCTAAGTCTAAATTTGGTAATGCAAGGTAGTACAATTAAAGCCTAAGTTTGAGGTTCAGTCAATATCTTCATGGTAATTATTGGCAAAAGTTGAGTCTTTGACTGGATAATGATTATCTCAGTCTTTAATTACAGTGCGAAACGGAACAAAAAAAATGGCAAGATGTTCGTATCTCGACCGAGATGAGCCAAATTATTTATATTGATTTCTATTTTAATAATTTCTTTTTTTAGATTTTCACATTCATTAAATATGAATAGATCAATCGGCAAACGAAAGGATCAAAGTTAAATATTATCCTCCTCAATCGGAACTATTTTTTTAAGATTCCTCGAATTTCACTAACCAAATGCGCTAAATATGATAGTCTTTGACTGGATAGTGCGAAACAGAATACGAAAAAAATGTTAAGATATTGTATCTTGAGCTGAATTTATTTATTAACATTTCCATTTTAATAATTTTAGTAATTTAAAAAAAAATAATTTTTGAACTTGCGATTTATTAAATATGAATGTATCGAGCAGCAAATAAAAGAAGTTTTTTTATTATTCTCGTTTAGTATACAGTACATGTATATATAAATATTCCTCAATCGAAACTATTATTCCCTTTTTTTTTAAAAAAATTTGCCTCAAATTGCACTCATCGATATATCTTCTCTAAAAGATTTTTTGTATGTTCGTAAATTCGTTGATTCTTACAATTTTTCGATTCGTTCTATTCCAAAGTTTGGCAAGTCGGGTCGTATTGATTCAAAATCGTTTATATAATATGTTTTGTGTTCATTTTTATGTTTTCGTTTATTGGGTGAAGAATGATTTAGTTTGCATTTTAATGGATTCAATGCATTGCGTGTTGGAACTTATGAATACGATTCTTTGATGGAATAAATGTTATTCAGATAACTTTAGGCTTACTTTGCGACACTCGTCATTATATATGTGCCCTTCGGCGAATCAAAGTGCAGAGATGTTGCGGGTTGTTATAAAAGAGGAAGGGTCTTATCATTAAATGTTAGAATTTTTAATGTTTCAGGTTAACGACAAACATGCTGCTATTCGGTTGTTTATTACGTAATTTATTAGTATACGAATGGTTGGGGGGGGTTTGCCTTTATTGATAGTAATTTCGATAGGGAACATCATTTTTTTTATATAAGAATACATCAAAATAGAGAAGTACAGTCAACTCTCTCTATAACGAACTGATGGTTCTGTTAGTAAAAAAGTTCTTTATATAAAATTACTATGTTTATATAGAGTCCACTACTCTTTCTATAACGAACTAATATAAAATAGGTTCGTTATATCCAGAGTTCGTTATAAAAAGGTTCGTTATAGAGAGTCGACTGTATAATAGGTATGGTATGAGGATAGTTTATAAATAATTTTTACCATACCATACCATACCATACCTAAATACGTAAGTGTATAATCAATCGGAATTTTTAAGAATGATACAATGCGTCAATGAGGATAAGTGTAATGTCAATCTGTGGCTATCGGGGTAAATAAGAATGATACAATTGTGTCAAATGAGGATAAGTGTAATGTCAATCTGTGGCTATCGGGGTAAAACCCGAACGGTTAAAGCGTAGTCCATCACGTGATATATCTTAAAAATATTAAAAGGTAATTTCAATGTTAGGGTTGGGAAGGAGATCAAGGTTATATTTAAAATTGCCTTCCCGACATTTTTAATTAGCATTTTTTCATTTTTTGTCTTTGCTTCAAATTTGTTTTGCCGGGTTGATTAAAAATTTACGCATCCTCATTAGTTTGTTTTTCGAACAGATTATCGGATGGATTACGCTTTAACCAATCCCCTACTACGTATAGGAGGCGTGTACCAGGTACATCTACTTAGAACTGCTGACAGGTTTATTAATTTATTATTTTTTGTTGAATTATATGCTCAAAATTGTATAGTGCACACAAATATTAAAGCAAATGTGTAGTAAGCATACTATTTCATCCGTCATTATAAGCATATTATCTGGTGGAGTTAATAATTGTATTTTAAATTTGTTTATACATGTACATTAAAATTGTTATTGAAAAATTAAATATATGATTTACAGCAATGTATACCGATACTGTGTCGTCTACTTTTTAATTATCGTTGTCATTCAAATAATTCAAATGAGCGTTAGCGAGTGTAACTTCAGAGTAGGTATGTTGATGCGTAAAATTACGATATGGTTTATATGTATTTCCTGCCGTTTGAATTTCATAGTATCCGACTCCTGCGGCATCATCTATTGCTACGTTGTTTTGAAGCATACCGGATGACTCGTCAGCGGCATCATCATCAATAATCTTTTTCGGATGTCTCTCGCTATTATATGTCAACGTGGTTGAGGAATCGTGGTATTTTGAAATTGTTAGTGCGGCTTCGAGTTCTGTCAACTTTTGTTTGCGTTTTATGTAGGCGCGTTTTGCAATTTTATAAACCACGTAAGTTGCCCAGATCTGTGTGAGGAATAGAATGAA